AAACATGTTATTTTACTGTAGGGCAACAAAATTCTTGGAATAACTGCGGCAGCAACATACATTATTCACTGTGTAACAAGCGTCAGGTCTTAAGTTTCGTAACCAGTCTATAGGTTAGTCAAGGCTCTCCATGAATCTGTAGGCTCTGTTATTTAGTCCTTGAAACTAATTTTCTTTAACTGTGAATGCTTATATTGAATTGTTCTTTGGAAGGGCCTGCGAAATTCACCTGGTTGTACTTTGTCGACTTTGGTTACTAAATATGACCCAATTAAAACTACAACTGTGAATATTCTTGAAATTTTTATGGAACCTAGAACCAATGTCGGGTACCTTTGTTATTCCCGAACAATTGAAATTTGTGAGACCTGCCTCGAATTCACATTTTGGTATTCACACCTGCATAATTTCTGCATACACAACGACACCATGATACCAATTTCTTAGGAACACTTTTTTTGATAGTACATGGCAGACTGATTTATTCCAAAATCAATTTGATTTTTTATAATAACCTATTATCAAAATATACAGGTACGCGGTCACATGTTTATTCACCTTTCTTCACACAAAATTCAATTTACATCCCAATGCGGCGCTGGAACCATTACAACGTTATAATAAAAAACTGTTTAATCGGTGGTCGGCAAAGTACCGGCCCAGATTCCAGGTAAGGAATTTCACACCTATCATTAAAAATCAATACACGTTACGAAGCAAAATGAAAACATCAATTTTTTTCCAGCCCGATCGATTTGCATCTTAAAAGAAACAATCTGTATTTTAATCAACACCTCATCGAGGCATTATATGGTCCAGATCGATTAATAAAGCAGCTCTACGGTCACTGTCCTGTTAACATCAGCCAATTCATTATTTATGTAGAGAGATTTTGTAGCGTAGTAATTATGACATTGATTTTATACCATGGTTATTAGGCCTATGATAAACTATGGATCTGTAGCTTGGTATGGCAAGGCAGCACAAAGAACTGTCCAATCCAAACTGAGCGCAATACAGAGAGAAGCTTGTATGTTGATCACTGGTGCTTTTCTTACCACACCAACTGCAGCTATGGAGGTCCTTCTTAGTTTACCCCCCTTGCACATATATCTGGAAGGCGAGGCAAGAAGGACATCTTATAGACTACATCATGTGGCAAATGGTATAATGGATAATATCACTATGGAGAAGACGGATATGCTGGTGAACTTACAAAACCACCCCAGTCTGGGAATGCCTTCTGATATAATGCCAAAGATAACAAGATATGCTAAACCGTACACAGTGACAATTCTACACAGAAATGAGTAGGAACAGCAAGTTAACCTGATAAGGAAAGATATCTGTGCATATACAGATGGCTCCAAGACCGAGGTAGGTGTTGGAGCTGGTATCCTCGTGCTGGAACTAAATATTAAAGCATCTGTTAGCCTAGGAACGTGGGCATCGATCTTCCAGGCAGAGCTATATGCTATAGAACTGTGTGCCAGAATGATCGCAGAACGACAACTGAGACACAGAACTATTTTTTCAGATAGTAAAGCCGCGCTTGAAGAACTTGACTCTACCTACTAGACATCGAAATTAGTGCGGAATTGCAAAGAAGCTCTCGGTGGCATAGGGGAGGGAAATCATATGGATACCAGGACACACAGGTCTGGAGGGAAACGAGACAGCTGACACTCTGGCAAAGAGTTGGGCTAGCACACCCTTAATAGGGCCTGAGCCAGCCATTGGAATCGCATACAATACGGTTAAACAAATAATCTCTGCAGAGATGGACAGAAAGATGCATCAATACTGGAAGGGATTAGGAGGGGTACCCCATGCTAAGGCAACTATACCAATCTTGACAAAGAAGGTAACAGACTCCTTGCTATGGCTGAACAGGAATAGCCTTAAAACTCTAGTAGGAAGATGAAACGGTCAGGCATGTATTGTGCAGATGGCCTCCAATTACCAGAATCAGGTACAACATACTTGGAGACGTAGCACTCCAAGCAGAAGACTTGGAGGATATTTCTCCAAACAAGTTGATCGACTTCCTCAGGAGGTCGGAGCTACTTGGGGAAATATAAATTGGTGTGAGCCACAATAGACCAAGGAGTCGCAGTGGAGGATCGATATTGATGCACTCATAACAAACCTAACCTGACCTAACCTATTATGACATAAGCAACACTTCTATCTTCAGTAGTACTTGCTCAAGATGTAGTCATGCAATGTGAAGGGTGGGATATATGTAGATAGCTTTGCAGCATAAAGATAATCAGTCCACAATTTTTCTCTCCGACCATTTCATCTATTAACAGACATTTATTTATATCTACTTCTATCAGGACCTACTATATACCCAGAGAGTTTTTGATTCTTTAGAAACTACAGCCATTCGGGGTGTTGGTTGAGTTGGAGCTTTCCTTCACACGACGAGGCGCCGGCATATAGCTCACTTCGCTTACATACACACTGAATACCATCGGATTCCGAACAAATCTGGAAAATCATATCTAGACCTGCTTTCAGATAATAATAAGCCAGAAAAACACGGCGCCCTAATGCCCTTACTATTGACCGGCGGGATTCAAAATTCGCGACTTGAGCTTTGGCACAAATTGCACCAATGAGGAGGCGTCTTTGAAGTAATTAAATTAATAAATTTGGTCGAACCAGAGAAAAATTATAGGATTTGTCTAGGATGGAATCCTAATTATCACATTAAATGAAGAACTACTACATATATCACATGATTGAGTCTCAAAAATCTAATTATCTTTTGCGTCCGAACACAAAAGTCGACGCAAACTCTACGAATCAAAAGAAGGATATGTGGCCTACTCGAAACATGTTCCAAATGGATACAATAGATTGACACGAGCATTATATTGAATATAATAACAGTGTATCACTGTTGCTGTACAAAAATCTGCTTAATAAATTCAATGACGACATAAATAAAATTACAGGACCGAGCGTTCTCTAACAATCATGGAGTAAATAATGAATATATTGACTACTGTGTGAAAAACCCTGTTCGTCTAACCAACCCTGTTACTGTTAACAGGGAAATTTCGCACATTCTACTGGACACGCGTTGCGGTGACGGTGGCAAGGCCAGAAATAGTCGCGCTACTGCACGTAGAGGGCACGAGAGCTCAATGTTAACATGGCTTAAGGATTAGGATTTTTTATATATTTACTCGATTTTGTTAAAGAATAAGCAATCTATATTTTTTTATGTCATAAAAGACTTTAATAAGCAGAATTTTGTGTCATATGAATCTAGATATTGTATCAGATTTGCGCCCATTTTCGCTGTACGACGAAAATGCTTTTGTGTCATTGGTGGATTTTATTACCAAGTCCGCGAATTTAGTATCCGAATGCAAATGAAGAATAGGCTTTTGCAGCTAAACTAATTTATGCTTATTTCTTGATTTAATCCTACAAAAAATGTATAATTATTCTGTAATTTGAGAGGCATTTTACAAGAAATCGACGACATTAATTGGATACATTGCTTCAAAGGGGCCTTCTTATTGGTTAGAGTTGTAAGCCACGCGCTTTTTTGCGCCTCATCGTAGTAGGATCGGCCGTAGCCTCGCATAGTTTGATAAAAATCGGATTTGGAAAAACGACTTTGTCGGTGTGATGTTAGTTGAGTGAGCATTTTGACGATGCTGTTGGCGCTCTGCGAGTGTATTGAAATCGTTTTTGGGGATCCTGAATATATTTATTTATCTCGCACAAAGAAATAGTTATACAGGCCAATTGAAAGAACGTTGAGGTGGCGACAGTGGACGACTTAGACAGCCTTGGATTTTGCAAGCGCCAGCTCTTTTTGAAAACTAGCAATAACAATAACAACCTTTGTTTGCAAATACAAATGCTATAACAAAAGCTGTAAACCACTTGTGATACAAATAGCGACAACTAAACAAAAGTAACAAAAAAGTATTATTATTCTAATAAAAAGCATTATTGGAAAAACTTTGTTTTTTGACGTGTCAGATGATCCTGATCATTAACTAAAATTTGTAGGGGGTGGGAGTGGGTGTATCGCAACTTTTGGCATATATTCATAAAATTCTAACTCTAGTAATTCTATGATGCCAATAAGCACATTCCATCCATATATTACCTCATACATTTGCCCTCAGGGTAGAAATATTTTGTATATACGTAGAGTGAACCAGCCGCTACTGGCTCTCGCGGACCACGCTACAAGTTTCCACCTGAAAAGCTAAGAAAAGGTCAACGATGCCTCGGCAATATAACCGTTGTGACTACTATGACTATTACTTATTGAGTATAAGTGGTCGGGTAGGATGACCACATTGGGTCTGTAGTGATTCAGGTATGAAATAACGAACTGATGATCTGCGAATATGAAGATATTTTGTGGAATGAAGAATTTCACCTGTTTTCAGTACCTTTTCTTCAAGCAAATATTTGTAATGCCAGGGCGTACTAAAGTTGTCATTGGTTCCTTAAAAAAAAAATATATATGTTCACAATACTTTTCTCCAATAATCTTCATTCTATTACATGGTCAACTGTAACGATTTCCATAGACGACCAATAGGAAGCCTACCAAACGTAAGAAACTTGATTCAGAAACATCACACATATTCAACTCCCATAATTTTTGGAAAATAAACAATTTTTTTGCGCTGATATTCATTCTACTCTACGGCTCCATGCCTGAGTACAAGGATTTCGATAGCCGACAAACAATAAAAATACTAGAGGGTACAAAAGTTCACTCAGATACTATACATGTTTCGTATACAAAGTTCATTTCTCCAGAAATGCATGAGAAGTTCAGGGTCAACCTACTTGTCGTCATTTTTTTCATTTCTCGCTGCTGTTTCATCGCGCATTATCTGTGTCATTTTAAGTGTGACTGCTGGTAAAAAGTTCCTGCTTTTGGAAATGGAAAATTTTTCTGTATATTTTGAAAGTATTGATGAAAAAGACTACAATTTTTTTCTACAAAGATTGGGATATTCAGTTACACACGATTGTTCTTTAGATCTCGAATGTCAAAATACAGCTGCATATGATGAATTCGCTGCTGATAAGAGAAACTTCATTGGTACAACGATGTCTACAGTTGAGGTGACTCGTCTTGGTTACAATCTACGGAAATGTCTGAAACCTCAATATTTTGAAGATATTACGTTAGTATATCTATTTGTGAAATTTGAATAAAATTTGCTGTTTAGTTACTGAGATCATCCGTGTAGTATATTTAAATGGCTTCTTACAAGAAACAGGATACACTTTCATGTTATTTCAATCTTCTTCAGAAGATTATTATATAAACATTTTTCACAGATTTGTAGATTTGTAGATCCATCGTTTTTTGAAAATATTGAACTCGGAAGCTGGTAACACTGCTGCTTTCGTCGTATTAATGTATTTCCTTATTATATTTTGTAAAGGAAAATTTAGTAATGCTTGAAAAATAAACCGTTTGAGACTTGACCAGCATAAACATGTTTGTCTTATTCGGGCGTTCGGTGTGGAAGATGAGCGAGGTCCTCTTGCAGTTCTTTGCTACTAGGAGTGTTACGTGTAGTTGTTTAGCCGGCGCGGCGGTTGGAGATAAATTTTACCTCCGAATGTTGCTTTTATAAAGCTTGAGCCTGTAATCTGAACTTACGGGAATATTGTCGATTAGCAAAAAACTCCCCTTCAAGAGTTATATTAATAGATAAAAAAGTATAGAAACTGTTTTCACATTACAATTACCATAACAGACACTATAGTCCCGTGTGTCCAATTATTCCCAGCGGAACGTAAATAAACGTCACGTTGGAGCCCCTTGACCTGTCGGCCATGTTAAATATTGCCAAATAAATCATGTGAAGGCGAGAAGAAGGAACGTTTCAATCAGAGCCCATTTCAAATTAAATTATTTCCTCCACGGTCGTATATTTCTCTTTTCTCGTTTTTGGGCACTTGGAGTTTTTAAATTAAAATGTCCGTCGGGGTAACAATCGACCCGACACATTTCCAATTAACACCTGGTTATGTAACGTCGGACCGCTATTGCTGCCGAGCGGAACGCTCTCATAGATCTGGCCCAAGGGCTTAAGACTATGCCCGTAGGTATATCAGGGACCGGTCTCTCCGAAAGCAATCTGGACGGGTAATACGTATCTTGAAATGTGACGTAATATCGATTTTTTTGACATTATACTGTTTTATTTAAACACTAGTTAGGTTTGTCTCAAATACTCTTATTTGAGATTCAAAGCTAGAGATTAGTTGCACATCCACTTTTTCTTATCCATTCCAGAAATTACGGCAACTTCCTTTCACAACCACTACGCCAGTTTGACTTAAGCACAACGTTGACGCGGTCGTGATTTCCCGTAACTCTCCTCAAAGCTTTTGAAAACACAAAAAAGCATAAATAATCGTAATTGATAGCTAATAGTTATACTTCATTGGCAGCATATTCAGTAATGATCTTCTCACACAGCAAATATCACTGATTTTATACACACGCAGACCAATACACACAATCATCCAGATGCGATCTTGCTATTCAACCAAAAAAACAAATTTCTTCTCAGGGACCCAGAGATGAAAACTATAGACCACTGGGCTTCACAAAACATATGCAACCAACAATGCATGTACGTGTAGTTGAGCTATTCCTTCAGAGATGGGCGCTCACAACGATCCTAGTGGGCAAACGTGGAATGACTGCGACTTAAAAACTACCTAGTCTGCAAGATGATATATGTTTTTTTGACGTCTTATAGGTTTTTTACATAATACCCGTGCCGGAATCGCTACTCGACCGCAACCCAAATCGACACACGCATTCAAATTGACGCGTTCACACCAAAAAGACGGCAATGCGGCCAGTTGTTGAGAACCCCGTCGCCGCTATAACGGGTACCATAACGGAAGTGAGTAGAATAGCAGATGCCCTTGAATAGGCAAAGTCGGTGCGCGCATGTGCCGCATTAAGTCTGTGACGTGCGATGCGTTACTTTCTTCCGTTTCGGTAGCAGTCCGTAATCAGTGAATTGGATAAAATCATCTCCATTCTATCCTGAGTTTGTTTTTTAGGATGACTCAGTTGGATCACCAGTGTTGCAAATCTTGCAGGAGGGAATTGCGACGAGCAAGTTAATAGTATGGGATTGATGATAAACTTTTTATAAATAAAAATACTGCACATGTTGATTGATTAATCTAGCTTGATCTAGTTGGTAGAATATGCGATTTTACTTTCAATCAGGTCTTCTAAGAACCAAAATAGTCTGTCAATATTTCGGATTCTTATTAGAGCGTGTCTAGCTGGTGGTTTCATCTACAGCTCAAAACAAGACTGTCATTTGTTTGTCAGATCGCATCAGCAACGCAACCAAAGTCAGTGTCAAGTCTAAGTCGTTTTGCTGCTGAGTTAGTTTTGGTGTACGATGTACTCGTAGCCAATATACGGCACGGAGCCTTAACGAATGTATTAATAGTAGTAAAGGATTTGGTAGTTTCACCACAAGATTTGAACGTAGTTGTCCTCAGAAATGTTGTTACCTGCTGTTTCCGAATGTTCACTTTGCTACCCTTCGAATCTTTTCCGCGCGTATTAGAAAAATAGATCCCTAAAACAGTTTTTTTATAAACTCTCAGTACCTAATATTTTTATGATAACAATAAGCAGCTATATAGATAATAAACTCAACTATAGAAAAACGTATTTTGACTATGTTTTTACACTGTCATTATGTCCAGTCCGGTCCTGTCTGCTGCTTTTTGATTATGATTTGGTGCTGGCAAAAGGGCAGAGTAAATAGCTATGTCGCATGTTTGAATTGATAGGTGATTATTAATCATCACATTATACATTATAGTCATTTTCATATAACCCCCTATAAAACATTGTCCTATTAATTAACGACCATGTCATGTTTCAACCTCTTATTAATTTTTCTTACTTCACAACATCTAAGAACGAACTTATTGACATTTCCTCATAGTGATAGGAACAAAAGGCTTCAAGTAAGTTGACTTTGCACTTCCCACGCAACCCTGTCCTCAGTTCGGCCTTTGAGCTAGCGACAAACATGTATAACAGAAAAGTTAAAGGGGTCAAGTCTGCCAAACGGGCCCATATACAATTAGTGCCCCGTCCAGAGTCCCCACCCATGACTCTTGAAACATACCTATCGGCGATGCTGTTAGACGCAAGGCAGGGCTCTAAGTATGAAAGTCGACGTTGGAACGCATCGTCCGACGGACCGCCTGACTCGTCTATAGATGTTCCTCAAAGTTATAAGGGCAAATGAACGGGAAAACTTTGATGCGTAAAATCACTGGTGTTGGAAGCGTATAATATACCGCCATCAAAAACTGATATATACTTTCCAACAACCCCCAACCCCCGACTTGCTACACACTAATTTTTTTCTGAGAATGGTTTGTGCGATTTTTATTTTTTCCAAAACTACAAAGCATTTATGTTCTTGGCATAGTGGTGACCTTGTATCGCAATTACATCCAAATCCGAGCACTATTTTCTAAGTTTTAGGTGATCCAAAAATTAGCGGACAGACCGACTGCCAGACCTACAGACAAACATAGATGTTATGTAACATCCAAAAAACGTAACATCCCATTTAATACATTTTTTGCGATTACAATACAAGTAAAATTATGAAAATACTTCCATAGCACATCCAAAAAAAAGAAAAAGTCACTATAAACATAGGTCCAAAAATGTCTCATTACTATAAGAAACAGGGTGTCGACGTTTTCTATGCCACTGATGAGACTCCTGAGGATAACACGTGGATATTCTTCAAATAACTTTGTGGTAAGCTGAGATTACTTCCTTTATAGACCACCTACACGTTTTAATGCCAAACTTTACTAGCTTAAGTGTGTTGACAGAAATGACATCTTCTTGTCGCAGTTGAAATGGAATGTTTCTCGCCTCTTTACATTCAATTCGCTCCAAGAACTGATCAAACTTATTTGACTTGAACCTACAACTCCACACTGGCTTACATACTCTGGTAACATGTAGCTTTCTAAATAACTTGAGGACTCTACAGACATCGCAAAACATATCGAAAAACCTAGACATAACAAGACTGACAACTAATTAACAAAACACCCAACAGATACGGATCCTTGACAACTGATTGACAATTAAACTAACCAATAACTTGACTACACTCGACACAGAACTCAAAAATACCAAAACTGTCGATCTTTCTGTAACCTACCGCACTATACAGCCGCATTTAGGCAACAGCGGTGGCCGCAGTAGTAGACTCTTCGGTCTCCTGATCAGTCGCCGTGCGCTGTGCGGGTTCGAGTCCCGTCCCAGGAGAAATTTGTCTCTTGGCTATGGATGTTGTGATTGTCCCTAGGTGGTAGACAGTCTCTGACTGTCGAACGTGGAGGTACCACCCGGCGGATCTCGTAGGCGGAGAGCATGTTGCATTCACACGCGTTCCCTCGCCAGAGTCCGTGTGGCGTTCTCCCTTTCCCCTGTATCCCCTATAGCCCCACGGTACCCAATGGGTGTTTAGGCTTTAGGCCTCCGTGGTAGTTGCAGTATAAAAAAATACAGTACTTTTAAATTAAAACGAATTTCTTTCAACAGTATCTCAAATACTCAAACCAATCCTTCCCCAAAAGCAATGAATAGACACAAGCTTCTAAAGAAGGGCAATCTGTGTGTGAAACTAAACACTCCATAAAAATATAATAGATGTTCCAGAAAGGCAGTGGCGTAGGGCAAAATTTCTTTCCCCATCTATAAGGATGTCTATGGTAACTGGTGACGCTAGCACTGCATGTACAAAATCTTCAATCGATACATTTATTCACGGATTTGAAATTATAATTTTAACTCGGTTATAAGAATTTTTCATGTTATTTTTGTACTCCAGAAATATTCCTTAAGTTAGATGGCCCAAGAATAAAACAGCAATTGTTCCAAAAACAACGAGTAAAACGATCTCGGTTGGCGGGGCTATTTGCATAACTACTTAGCAATTTAATTACCGCTTATCTGATATCGGCGATAGGAGTGAACGTAGTCGAAGCCGTAGCTCGATGGGCGGGTGTGTGTTGGTGCAAAACAGTGGTGGGCGGACTGCAGAAGCAATCAATCACCCGGTATCTCCCAGATTGAAAGACATTGAATTAGCAGGAAATTGGAGCCGGGCTGATGCTAGAGAACGACGATTCCCGCCACGTCATTACTCTTTGTCGCGCGATGGCCGCTTTTTTGTTTTCGCCAACGCTTGTTCTCAGCGACTGATACCATCATCAATCAGCTGCAGTCATAACAAAAACAGAAGCACTATTATACGGGGTTGTTAACAAGTGCCTGAGATTGTTTTTCAGGTAAGAATAAGACCCATTAAATTACGGGCTTTAGCGACCATGGTAGAAATGTGATAATGGATCTTAGCGCATGACATAAAATTTCAAATTTAAATCATACTATCGATACAACTAGCATGTGTTTACCGTTTTGGGTAATTCAGCTAAATACGATCATTTTATCGCTTATCGCTACTCATTTTTGATAAACTGAAAATAACTTGGCCGATGTTATAATAATTTAGTCCTCTGTTGAGTGGCTGCTAAGATAGAGCTGATGTCCACTATTAATAGACCATTTTTATCTTTTTCAGTGGCATTTACTGCAAAATGGTTGAACCAGTAAAGATTATTCCAGAGAATTGTGTCTCTATTATGTTAAGTAAATCTCAAAACCGTTCCATTTTAATGCCATATATCAAAAATTATTCAAACATTATTTGGGTAGACCAAAACAAAGCTAAATCTTAAATGGTATTTCCAAGACGAAATACTCGAAGACCAATGTTCATAGATAAACTTTATATCTACTTCAGATATTGCGGCGGCATCATAGAGTGCTGAGGAGAAAAGCCTATCGGTATAGCGGTATAAGAGCGATAGATCGCCGTCGGGCCACCGGTGAGAAAGGGTCCTTGATTTACGTCATTAGTTACAGAAATAGCATGAAAGTGTGGTCACGTACATCAGAACCACTACTAAACTGAACTCTTGCTCCATTTCCGCGCATAGCACGTCAAGTAGATATAGTTCAATCAGCGCCTTACAACGTTTTCTTATAAATGCAACCAATATCAGAAATATCAGAAAGCTATCAAATCTGACGCATTGAATTCTACTTTCGAAAGTCATATAACATTATATAAACCCGCTTACGAACGTTATTTTCGAATCTATAAAATGTCGGCAATATTGTCAAGGAAATAAAATTACCCCTATGGGCAATAAAAACCCCCATTCTCCAGAAAATTAAAGTAAGATTCACCTTTTTTCCGAAGCAGATCACGTCTACTCCGAATGTGACGAAGGGTGTGAAGATATAAATGCGGCCGAGTTTGTTTTATTGGCTCAGGTCTGCTTCTTTCACATTTTCCTGCTATCTCCCCCCTTATACATATATATTGAAAAGCTAATTTACTTTTGCATTCTTGGTAGAAAACGAGAACCAGAATCTAAAAATTTTCAGCAAAAGACGAAACCGAAATAGGTTATTCTCGCTCATAAAAGTGCTTATTATGCGTGTTTTCCAAGAAGCGTCTCATCAAGCCATGTTAAACCAATAAACAAAAAAAAAAACAAATACCAACTTCGTGGAAAATATTATCTGATGCCGCTAAACGCAATCGAGTAGGGAGTTTTTTAAAAACCAAAATAACAAAAAATTAGTTTCATTGCTCAGCAAATACTAGGAACCTTCATCTACCATATTATTCTATTCACTGAGCCCATCGTAATATACATAAGTACATTGATAACTATTATGAACAGACTTACTGATATGCTGATAAGTTTGCAAATCGTTATAATTTAGTGTCAAAAACATTGTGCCTCTTAACTACAACTTCTGGTATTCAATGACTTTTCTTAGCGATTTTAAAGTGTACATACCTATATGTGTATAATCTGGCCATTCTATTATGAAACGCAAGCTGTCTACCAACTAACACCACTCTGGTCTGTTCTTGAATATGAATTTAACACCAGGATACTCTCATTTGCCTGGGGTCATCTATCACTATTCGTCTCCATGTCAACATGAACTTCCAACATCTCTGTGTTCCAGTACTAGTTATAGCTTTCCTTTGTAGAGGGGTCACTGATGGTGAAATTTAAGATGAAGGGGTCATTAGCCCACTGCACCTGTATCTATGCGTCCGTTTTGATGAACTCAGTGGTCGTTGTCAGTTGTCCTGTTTCGTACTCATATTGTCCATTAAAAATTGGTCTCAGTTTTTTTGCCGTTAGTTTGCTCTCCTGTAGGTTTCGTCACCGGGTAGCAGTCAAAATTTAATTTAGACAGCATCCCCTCCTTCTTTCTCTTCCTTCCCAACATTTACAATCTTCTGTATAATCTCTTCTTGCTACAGTGTACAAGGATACATTCACTAGTGGATCTGGGATCTTCAATTCAGTTGAACTCCTTCTCACATTTGCGAAACGACTCACACATACAATTTTGGGCCGTTAGGGCTGTCACTATTTTTAAGCATGTTGATGTCAACACTTTGGTCTGTTCATCACAAGAGTCTCAATTCATTGGCGTGATTCTTTCATTTGCCTCGTCTCATCTGTCACTGTTTTTTCCATGTCAACCTGACCAGTTTACATGGGTAGATTAATTTAGCTAGTGGATCTGGGGATCTTCAATTCGTTTGAACTTCTCTTCCTAACTAAACGTCCCACATTCACACTTTTGGTCCGTCGGGTCGTCACCATTTTTGAGCATTTTGATGTCAATACTTTTCCTCGGCATTGACTACAATTCTTTTGACGTGGGAGGGGAAAATGTGAGATATGAGTTTATGGCAAGAATAATGCGCCTTACGTTTGAATATCAGGTCATAGGCGGCGCAGTGAGAAATAAAAATTCGAGTAAATGTTATTTGAATCAACACAACTACAGGTCCGCCAAAAAGAACGCATGATTTTTAAATAAGTAGTACAGGCAAAATAAGTATGGCAAAAAATATAATACTTTATTGTATCAAAATACTCAGAAATAGATGCCATTTTTTGAGTGAAATAAAATCTACGTTCCAAAAACTATGTCGGCCATATGGCGCCCTTGAGCCGAAATGCAGAGATCAAGCTTCTCCCAAAATGAGCCCATTGCGTCGGCCAGCATCCGTGCAGGAATTTGGGTTACTCCTCTTCTTATTTCCTCCTTCAAATCGACGAGGGTCTGAGGCTTGCTTTGGTAAACCTTTGATTTCAGGTAGCTCCATAAAAAAAATCACACGTTGACAGGTCCGGGGAGCGAGGGAGCCATGGAATAACGTCGGAGAGGCTTCATTCGGTTCAAGGACCCCATTATGTCCGACATCTTAGAACGTAAATTTTGTTTTACTCAAAAAAATGGCATGTACTCCTGAGTATTTTGATATAATAGAATATTTTTCCCATACTTATGTTGACTGTATTACTCATTTAAAAAACATGTGTTCTTTCTGACGAGCCCTGTGTAATGATGCCCATAAGAAACTCATATGATGGAACCCTCTCCTAATATTAAGAAATTCTACTAAGGTTTATGAACGTAAAGAATGTACATAACGTATTTAATTAATTAAGGAGTGTATTGAATAAAAATCCTAATATTTATTTTAATACAAAATTAGTATTAGCAAGGGTTTTCTTTTTTCCGGGCTTCTTTTCCAACAAAAGAGTTAATTACCTCAGTTCAAATTTTGAATGTTTGATGGAAATAACTGCCAAGTTACGTACTATATTTCGTCCTATAGAGTTACTTAAAATCGGTCATATTCATTTCGGTTTCAAAAATTACCCATCGGCACAAGCCGTAGTCACAATAATCGTTCTTGCAATTTCAAGTCACATTGCGATTGGCTACTTGTACTTCAGAGCAGTTCTAGGGTTGCTTACTCTAAAACCTCGAACTAAGCTATTCAAGCAAATGTCTAATAAGATTAAGGTTAACGTTTATGCAAGTCATAATGAGCCTACCCAAATTTATCTATCATTTTTCAAAATTCAATGCATCATCTACGTAGTATATTTCCATCATTTATACTTATCAGTAAACGTGAGCAAATAATTGATAAATCGATGTAAATATCGAATTTCAATCTCATTTCCCCCGAAGCTCCACTTACCACTTCGAAGGAGCATGCCCGTACCTCAAGTAGCAGGTATAATATTATTAATTTACATTTTTTCTTCATGGAAATCGAAACCTCATGCGTTATTCATGCGAATCGAATGTCGCTGGTATCCAAGTCCCTTCCAAAACCGTAGGAAAATTTAAATAATCGAAGTATTTTTCAGGTCGTTTCTCCCTGATGGATCGCGATGAATACGTAACGTGCCGCAACTCAGAAAAGGCTAAGCAAAATGTTCAGCTTAGGGTTTGTTCACAAGGTGTGAGATGCGATGAGTTCTCAGTTGGAATACGGAATATCATCTTGATTTGGAAGACCCTGATTTCTCCGAAAATATAGGTTCGAGGCGCACTCCATTATCGCATTCCCACTACTAAGTCAGTGAGGCGGACGCTGCGTTGGTGGTAGAATTACTTTGTTCTATCATCGCCTTTATTATTCAAATAATACAAGTTTCAACGAGTATAAAAATACAAGCATGGGAAGTAGTTGGTGCCTAATTACGGAATAGGTCCTCCAAGTCACGCGATAAACTGTAGATCACCTGAACTCCAGTTCAAATATGAACTTAGTTCAAATGCACGTGCGTTGTTCATCTGTCAGTCAAGCTCGGTTCCACTGAACCTCAAATATGTAGCAGTTAGAAATACTATACAGGTAAGCACTATGCTGTAGGCTCGGAATAATAACACCTGCCAACAACGTCATTTTGACCGAAATCATAACAATACTTTACCTTGCTTTCACTTGTAGGCGAAGGATAGATACAATCAGGCATTTTTTGGCGATTTTTTGAAGTTAGTTTGTTATTATCGACTATAAATATATCGCAACATCTGCAGGAAAGCGGGTAGGTATATAATTGCTTCATTATTTATTAAAAATAAAATTGGTGCTGATTCTTTATCTTTGTAGTGATGGATTTACTTGAAAAATGAATGCACCTAAGAGAAGAAGTAACTTTAGCAGGGAAGCAGAATCCCTTTTAATTAGTCTGTTGCAAAAGAGTTTAACAGTTGAGGGGTGACCTACCGGGATAGTAAAACATTGAAGAATAAATATGACAATATCAAAAAAAGGTCAAAGAAGAGGTTCTCACAGGAGAAGTGTTCCCTGTTTGCTACGGGAGGAGGTGCCGCAAAAACAATTCATTTCACCAATATTGATCAAAGGTCAAAGACATTTTAGCTGTCCGAATAGAAGGAAACCCTTCAGCGTATGATGATGACATGAGTACGGAAGCTGCATTGTATTGTGTGAATATATTTTTACGTTAATTTTTTTTAGTTGTCTGTGACATACCTGAAAATGGTATATGCCGAGACATAATTTGAGCAGCTCAGATGGCTTCTGCAAATTCACCGACAATGAAAGAACCAATTTAGATTCAACACAGCATTCCCATAAGTTGGTGAATGTATAAACGTATAAAAGTTTATATTTAAAAATATATCTACTAAAATTTGAAATAGGTACTATATTTATTCCTCAATTTATCTAATTCATTGTATTTTTTCTGGGTTCTGAAGTTGGAGCACAATATGCACCCGCCAGAAATAGTTCTGCTACTTAGTAATTATAAATAAACTTTTGTATTGTTATATTTCTATCATCTGCAACTTCATCTATTATGAATCTAACAGTATTTTTTGATAACCGAAAACGTTGCAAGAATTGAGTGTCGTTCCAAATCCGAAAATTATTTGGTCTCTCTTTGTAAGTTTTGGGTAACCTGGGTATATATATGATGTTAATTAATTCTAAGAAGTCCTCGTCATCAGTTATCTCTCCGGGAATATCCATTTTTAAACTCAACATACAAGTCCTTCGCTAAACTTTGCTACGATATTTATGTTACTCACATTGAACTGAGTTAACCGAGAGACATCGGCCGGTCAGGTTCTATGCCTACTTGAACTGGGTTCAAGCCTTGAGCTTAATTTGTACAACTGATTTTCAACTTTGAACTTAGTTCAATCTGAACAGCGGTTTAAACAGGAGTTGAACAACCGGCCCTAAATCTTGTTATTCATACTTCTACCTAGAACATCAACTTCACAATCCATCAAAAACTTGGAATGGAGACAAAATGGCCGAAGCTGCAAAAATTCGTTCGAGAATAGGAAATGGGACCTTCAAAAGCCGCACTGCATTTGTGCCTAAGACAACTTGGTTCCGTCTATGCCAAAAATAATTAACAGTCTTTAGAGATGGCAGCAGCCTCTTGTATGTTTAATATATAGTTTTTAATTACAAATAGTTTATATTGCAATAGTAGATGGTCGAACAACCAATTATAATTAATGACCTCAAAATAAAATTATAATAAAATTCAAATCATTAACAGAATAAAATGCAATTCAGAGTAAAAAGCGAAATGATCAATCAGTCAGGAAATTCAGGAAACTATATAATTCAATAAGATGCAAATTACATTTGTACGCTGAGTGTTCTCCTGCAAGCTGAAAATAATTATTATCATCGATCAGTTGCCAAAGCCTAAATGCTGCAAGCGGTGTCGAGTAGTTAAGAAAATCAAGTTGGAACGGTTTTGAACTGCCTAAGATCTTTTTGGGCGAGGTAGTACCAGCTCGGGTACCAAGGACAGGAATCTGACAGATCAGTTTTGTTGGACTAGAACGCGCGACCTTTGGAGGAGTCTTTAAACAAACAAATGTTGTTGACGTATCGGTAATAAACAACCAGATCATCAGCCGCATGCCATCCGTATGAAAAGGACTGGAGACTTCCTTTTCAATAGGTTCACCGGTCAAGTAAAAATCTAATATGGGTCTTTTGAAGATTAAGAAAATCAGTTGAAAGTTCTAACCATCTCCAGACTCGAACATGATGGGCAGCCATAATTTACTCGTCTTTTGATTTTTTGTTTCTTGTCAGAGGAAAGTTTTATCTTCCTCAGACTGAGATCTAGGTTTGACATGTTAAAAGTTGTGCGGTAAAGGTCATTTTGGTGCGCGATTGGAACAATGTGTTAATACCGGTCCTGAAGCTAAGCCATATCAGTGGAATATCCGCCTTGGATATCTTACGGTCAAAAACAAAATTGGTCCACCGGCAATATCACTCTTGAAGGCCATATGATGAAATTCTGCCTATGATAAACTATAATGTAGCACCATACTCTCAGCACTGCCATGCGATGCAACCATTTAGTTAACGTCGCACGTCTGGATACATATTCTTAATACTTTTCGTCTGTCATCAGCTCTTTTTGCTACAAAATTCATTTTTTTTCAACCGTAACTTGTTAAAAGATAATGGCACAGCTGTAAATTTGTATGTGAATATTCCACTTTTGTGAAAGAATTGAGCGGGTGATTACTTCTTTCGAATCACTTTCTCTGTTCACTCTTTGCTTTTCTTGAAAACTCAGTTTGCCGCAATATGCGGTTTCAAGAAAATCAAAGATTTTTTGAAAAGGAAAAGTGGTAAGAATAGAAGTAATCACCTGCTCAGTTCTACTATAAAAGTGGAATTTTGATATACAATTTCAGAGCAGTACCTACTAATATTTGTTAACAAGTTACGATTGAAGACAGAATGCACAATAAAATCCACATAAAACGATTTTTTGGGCAAAAGAGAAATGATAAAATCGTTTTTAGTCATCTCTACACACACCATGAAAGAATCAGATGAAAATAATTTTGAGTACTGCTCCAAACAGGTAGTTGAAAAAAGGGACATGCGACCTTAATTACTTAAAATATGAACAATTATGTCAAGTCACTCTACAAAACCATGTTAATAGTAGGTTGTGTCGTAAGGTGCTACGACATTTCCTTGCAGCCGAATTCAGCAGCCGAGAACACTACTGTTTAAAAAGCCAAGTTCGTAACCCAAATTCGGCAGCGTTACTAGGCACCTGGGAAATCCTGCTCTCGCGCATTATGTTATATTGATACCTGTAGTCTGTAATCTGGATGCGTTTTTTAATATATTTCCATAACAAATAAGGATATTAATTTGCGGTTCCCACCATTTTATAGGACTTTTTATGCACTTTCCGATCAATATAGTACATACACCTACATCTACGAGTATACAGGCAGCAGCGGTGGCGTAGCAGTAGACGCTACGGATTCCTAATCAGTCGCGGTGCGCTGCGTGGGTTCGAATCCCGTCCCAAGAGAATTTTTCTTTTGGCTATGGATGTTGTGATTGTCCGTAGGTGGTAGATGGTCTCTGACTGTCGAACGTGGTGGTACCACCCGGCAGATCTCGTAGGCGGGGCCAGAATATGTGCATGGTGCATGCACAGGTGTTCCCTTGCCAGAGTTGGTGTTTAGGCCTCAGGCCTTCGTGGTAGTCGGAGTATAATATATATATATATATATATATATATATATATATATATATATATATATATATAATATCCGTTGTATTTGGAATTTTCGAAAAAAAAAAAACGCTGACACAACCACAAAGCGCCAGCTCGCGGCCATACACTGAACTGTCTCACAAGATTGAGCATTCGAAACCAAGGTCAATAATTTGCGTGGGGAGATAATGATGAACTTCTCTGGATTTACAGTTGACTGACGAAGTTCTACACATGTGATAGCGTGGAAAAGGTGGTGAACCCACTCTAATCCGTTGCTGAATTCACCGCGTGTATACCATCCTTTACCCCCTATTTCGCGATGTAAATATAAAGAAGCAAAGGCGTCTGATGTGAATACAACCAAAGTTGGCGGCAGCAAGAGTAGAGCTGCGTCAGCTGAAAATAGATGGAACAACCGATGCTTCGCGGTAAAACGAGGACATTTGAATTCGAATCGACTGTAATAGAAGGAATCCATGATTCAGTATTGCCGCATTGAAATCTGAGATACGGTGGAGATAGAAGGAGTCAGAAATGATGGAGGCGTTATTCTTTTGGCGCACGTAGAGGTTTTATTGGAGGATGAAGTGCGTACATTTGTATTGTACGACGGGATCCCCGCAGTGCTTAGAACTGACAGTGATGACTTCATTTCCTACAACGGTGCGGCAGTTTAGCTGTAACAACTTATGCTACTGCAGAAATATGACCAGTATAGTCAGATCTTATTATGAGTACTTATTGCAATGTATTATATTGGAAAATATTATTTGCTATCAGCGAGACTGTATCACTGATCAGAATGCTGCAGTTTATCAGCAGACATGTGCTAGCTAAGCTACATGTTGAAGTGAATATGGTTTAGGCACTGTAATAGCTTAACGTTCTTTCTTGTGGAAGTGACTTCATGCAATAATTCTAGAAAATCATATGATAGGTGCATCACCTTCCAGTTGACAATTCTTTCAAGTAACTGGATGTTTGCTCATATCCTCAAACAAATGGCGTCAAGTAGATTGAGTCTATACTTCCCATGCCACAGAAACCTCCTAGTACAATTTTTTATCTAGTGCAATTGCATTAAAAATTTTCCTTACATTGTAGCAATGTACGTGTTCGTACAAGGTAGCGTCGTTTTTTGGAGCTCAGGTGTAAGACTTTGTCAACAATGTTTGATATGTCAATAACACTTGATATGTACTTGTATACTATATAAATATACTACAATACATGATATTACCTCAATAAATCCAGTAATCTCATTAAATTACCCTCCAAGCAAGATGCTCGTATACAGGGTGTTCCTCAATGATATGCGAATATTTAAGGGTGTGAATCTACATCTATAAACTATGGTCCAAACATGTTTCCTTGTATGAAGGTAAGGGAAGGTGTATCGCAATCTTTCATGTTAGTATACTAATGCACTTCCAGCCCCGGTAATTCTACCCACTTATTGGATATATTTCACACATAGTAGTATTTCCCACTCCTTTAAGGCCGACCGCCCGATGACGCGCTATGCACATACGAGGGGAGCGCGATATTATCTGTATGCGTACCTATATACAGGGTGACTTTGAAGTTGAGTCATTAATTTTCAGATAATGATTGTAGAAGGAATATAAACCAAAATATGTGTGCAGAAATAAAAAAAAAATTAAAAAAAAAATTTTACCTTGTTTTATAAAGTATCCTCCCGACAAGTATTTCAGTGCGGACCTGTATTTGATCGTGAGGTCCCCTGTGAGGTCTTAAGTCACCTGATTCACGAGCCCGTTGTACTACATTAACAAAGGCACGAGGGGTTGGTTGCACTCGATTGGGAAACCGATCCGCATAAACATGTGCCATTTTTTATTTCGTTTGAGCCACGCAACAGATACAACTATTCACTGACACTTACTGTATACAAATGAATGAAATAATTCGTTCCAAATTCTTTCGCTTTTTTGTTTCCGTTGCG